TATTTGTGCGCGCATATGTGTGTATGTGTGTGTGTATGTGTGTGTGTATGTGTGTGTATGTGTGTGTGTGTGTGTGTGTGTGTGTGTGCGTGCGCGCGCGTGCGTGCGACGTGCGTGCATGTGTGTTTCCGTGCACGCTCAATCTCTTTCGAGTTCATGTATAAGGGGAATGTAAATTGGCACCGTTCACGATAAATGTTCGCCGAGTTCGATTAATTCAAGGGAGTAGTGGCCTGACCAATGATAGAAACATAAGAGAGGGTTGTCACTCTGTTGGTTTATTTTTTAAAGAATAAATAGATTTCTAGCTTTTTATAGAATTACTGATCTTGGTGAGAATCATTTTGTAGATTTCAGTTCCCTTAAATTGTTTTGAAATGATGATCTGAGATGTTAAAAGAAGGAACATTTATAATATATAATTTAAAGATCATTTTGTTACTTTGTAGTTGAATTAACAAACAATGAAGCAGAGGAGCGTAACGTTTAAAGCACTCAAATATTATTTCGAGAATTGTTTCTCTGCAATCTGTTTCTGTTACAAATAGATCTAATGTATATCTAACCAGGCCTAGGCCCTATTCATTCACACTTGGCGCCTTCTGCACAATGCACCAAAGATCGTGTTCTAAAACGCATTTTACATCTCGACAATTGATCTCGATTTCTCAGCGATGGACGATACCTCAAGCGGTAAAAGAAGCAGCGACGGCGTGGAAACAGAATGAGAACTTTTTCGTTATTCAAGAGTATAAATGTTGTTTTTTTAAATGCCCTACAGAAATTGTGCAAAAATCTTTAGGAAAAAAAAAGAGTACATCTACTATAAACTGCTAGCTTAATTTTGTGTACATAACCTAGGCCTAGGCTAGGCCCTTATTTCAAAGTCGCGGACTTGAAATTTATTCCGAGGTATCGATTTTAAACTCCAAAAGGCGGCAATTGGCCTAGGCCTAAATAACAAGGAAACGATCCGGGTTCGTCGTCCAACTTTTCACTTTTTAAATTTCAGTAGCCTAGGCTAGGCCAGCGATGAAATGGATGTTTGAATTTAAGTGCATGTGATGTAAATTCAGGGACTCATTCAGCTTGATAATTCTTCATCCAAGCTCTCGAAAGGAAACCAGTAAACGCAATCAAGGTGAGTGAAATTAAATAATTCTCTTATTTCTTATTTAGAGTATAATAAGCCTATTGAACTTCGTCGCGCTAGAACAAGCCCATAGGCCTAGGCCTAGATTCTAGGCCTAGGCTAGCGTAGCCTAGCGCAGGTCTAGCCTACGTCTGGTTCTGAAACGAAAGTCTAGACAGATGCCCTCAGTTTGACGTCATTAGGCTAGGGAGATATTTAGATCTAGGGTAGGCTATGCTAAATTGCTAGGCCTATTGTCTAGGCCTAGCTTAGGCTAGATTCTAGATCTAGAATCTAGATCGAGCAAAGTGTCGAAATTGTTGGCTGTGTGTCAATAGTGCTGACCACTGCTTTAGAATAAAAGAAGTCGAAAGGCTTTCTTAATTTTAAGAAAAAATAATTAAGTTGCAGCACGATCAATAAATAATGTACTCATCATGAGCCCTCTTCAAAGAGGGAAGAATTTAAGAGGCTTGGATGAGAAATATATAATATGGAGTTAATACTAGATTCTAGAATCTAGAGTCTACCCTTCCCTTCCTTTTTTCCCCGGTGTTTTTCCTCTTGCTTCGTTCATACTCGGCGCTTGTCCATTCCCTGAGAATTAGATTCTAGATCTAGAATCTAGATATCTAGATCTAGATATCTATAACAAAGGCACACTGACTTGGACAAATCTACTAGATTCTAGATCTAGATCTATGTAGATCTAGAACATGAATAGACATGACA